TATTGTTTGCATAATTTTCAGTGCAATCTGACATGGGACTAAGTCAGCAAATTACATTTAGAATTCATTCATGCAACATTTGCATTTGATGAACATCAAATTTAAATGACGAGGCAGTCTCCGGTGTCCACTTTTTACGATTTCATCACAATGAATATTGAAAATTTAATTTTATCTGCGAATATATTATTATGACCTTTGTACCCCTTTTATTATTGAAAACAGCATTTCGGGATAATATTTGAGCATTTTTTAATTTATGCACACCAAATCAACAGGCACACTTTTATTACTACATATATGTATTTATATAGTTCATCCCATTATTTATCAGCTTGGAATCATGCAGTTCTTCAAGTTTGAATTCAGAAGGTGATATTAACAGCATTCTTTGTGCTGCTGCTATAATCGTGTCGATGATCTTGTAGAAATAATTGAAACTGGAGCGTGCAATTTAGATCAAAATTTCAGATTCTATTGTATTGTGCAGGGGTTCTCCAGGAGGTATTTTGAATGAATCTGCTTACAACTTTGAAACATTTTGAACTGCTGATTTATTCTCAATTTATTTGGGGTCAGGTGTTCATTCCGTCCAGTGATCACATAAAAAGTCGTGCTGCAAGAAAATGCTCTTGTTGTTGTAATCTTATTGGAGACTTGCATCTATGTATATATTTTTTAAATCTAAAACCAGATCAAACTTTCAACATTCAGTTGATACTCGGATATAGATTTAACTCTTTGCCTCCAACCCCCATCAACATTATGTTGAATTGTTGTCGGCATATGAAAGAGATGCTACCTGTGCTCCTGGAATTCAATTTTTATTGAAGCACTCGAGGACTGACTTTTCAGTCATCTATGTAAACGAACATTGTTGAAATGTTCAACAAAACAACATACTAACAAAAAACACAACCAGTGCTGGTGGAGTAGGAAAACATCTAATTAATTTGGAAAAGTTTTCGAGATCATTCGACCCCTTACAAAATTCTATTACAATAGATTATATAATTATTATTAATTATGCATGCGTTTATTTTAACAAGATAGGATGTATTATAAATATATGTACATTATCATATTTTAATGAATTTAACTAATAAACAAAGACATCAATTCGTTAGAAAGTTTAACGAGGGATTTTATTACAATAAAACAATTAGCAAATAAGCGAATGAATAAATAGCAGCTCATTCGTCTTCATTGTTAGGAAGATGCTTTGCTAGACTTTCTCATAAAATTTATTAAACGAAACAAACTTCGACTTTTGGTATCCAAGCAAGCAAGTTAGGTGAAATTGAAATATTTATTTTCAAAACCATTACCATAAGAAAATCACGTTGTGAAACCTTTATTTAAGAGAGTGTGGTGAGTTAAACTCTTACTAACTCCTAATAATAACTTACCTCCTAGACCTCGGAACGGTACCTGAATCAAGTCACCAACACCAGATTTTCTACCTGCCCCTCCCCCCTCAAATCCAAATAATTGATTTATATTGAATATTATTATACAGAATAAATCTTAACGGCAAGCAACATAGGAATCCTGGCTGGTAGTTACCAATAACTTTTCATTTTATTGCAGTATTTATATGCACAATTGTTTCACATTACGACTCACACTTCATCGACAGAATACACTTAAAATAGACCAACAATGTTCCGCACATTGCGACAGGCGGCAGAGGACATTTCGGATATCGACGTTCCCCTAGAACTCAGGGAATTTCGCCCCCACAAATTGTACTATCCAGTTCCCTTCCAGTTCAAGCCATTGCCATCGGAATATGAAGAAACTTGGTTTATATGGAAAGGATTTGGCAACAATTTTGCGCTCCCATTTCTGGACGTGTTATTGGAGCTGGACATCTGTTCGATTGCAGTGGGTGGCGTCACCATGTTTCTGTATTCGTACATTTCTCAAGACATTTCTTATGGGTAGGTCAGTTCGACTTGGCATTACGGTTTATAAATCAATTTACATTGTATAATTCAATTATTTTGAATTTATGACAGCCTCCACTATGTCTGGCCTTCATCTCGCCATGAAATAGAAGATATGTTTCCCCTCGAGAGGATATCAGCTTGCGTTTGGATCAGAGTCTTTGTATTTTTTCGATATTCAAGTAAGTTCAATTGATATGCAGTTGCTGAACAGACAATCCCGCAAATATCCATCCATTGTATGAATATTAATTAAAAATCTCATGTATTCCTAATTGTAGCGAGATTTATGGTGGGAGGAGGAATCTATTTGGTGATTAAGAGCGTGGTCCAAGCTTTAATGAAGAATAGACTGACACCTTTTAAATTCTATTTGTTATCTGGCACAATATTTTCAATGTCTTGTGCTAACAGGTACAGTTTTCAGCGTCCTATTTGGAAATTCATCAACGGACTATGGACTGGACTAGCGATGGCTTTTTGCGAAAGTGTACTTGATACATATTTCTACGCCATTCGTAATATACCTGCATCCGACATGCCGTTTAGGTTGTCATAAGTTAATTTATATTGTGAAATTCTACAGTATGTTTGTACATTTGCACAATATACGGTAGCGACAATGTGACCTTATATGCCGATTTTTCTAGGTGTAAATAAGTTTCAATTATTGTGATCCCTACGGTGTTCATTGCATGTGTGTGAGCGTGTCATCATCCCACCCTCTTTACAGAGTTTTTTCCAATAAATTGGGTTTTGATACATTTTCAATTTTGGGAAACATCAAATGCATTGTATTCGTTTCAACGAGGGGCCAGGAGGGAAACACATCACCGTCACCCGACATGACAAGTACATTACTTTTTTTCTATAATCACAACCAAAATTGCCCCCAAAACGATGAATCTATCGTTTTCGAGAAAATCTAATAAAAAAGCACAATGATTATCAGTGGGATCATCATCTTCATACAAATAAATGGACCTCTTCCCACCCTGCTACAAAAGAAATTCTTTTATTTTAGCTCCAGTTTGATTGAAAATACTGCTGCTAAAATCAAATTTTACATTAACTGAAAGGGACGCTATCACTGGGGACAAAAAGGCATCGACAACACCATGTTCACAAACCCAAAGGAGGAGAATTGTCATTATATAAGTTATTTTTATGAGTTGGTTAGTTTCATAAATTACTTACAAAAGAAAATTGAATCTCGCATTGATCGGGGCTGGACATGGACTTCAAAGGAAATAATGTACAACAGGGCTCATTAGGATCCCCCAATGCCCAATATTTTAGCCCAGCCGTTCAGTATTTTTCCCAGTAAATCCAACCAGTAATCCAACTATAATGCTATTCTGGAATCATCATAAAGATCACCCTTCATTGTCCAAACATAATTTGATAAAAAATTGTTATAACAGATTCCGTATCGGATAAGACAGTGTCACAAAGCCGCACTTGAAAACGTTAATCCAATACAAAATTGGAAGTGCGATCAAGTACACTAATAACGAATTTTATGTGCTAATCGTACGTTGTGACTCATCGTTCGTTTTCCTGCTGTCGGAGCATATTTATACTTTGCAAGTATCTGCTATAACATTTGTTGTTTTACACAAAAATATTTCTCGTCTAGAAAAACTTGATTTTTAATATTTTGAGCATGTAAATAACGGAAATTATCTTATCAAGAACACAGGTTGGTTTGAAAACTAAAAAAATATCTACGGGAGTGGAAGCCATGTATGTTTGTCTTGGTCGTACATACGACAGTGTGACTTATTATGGTTCACAAAACACTTAAAGTGAGAAATGTACATGATCTCATCTCGCCTCAGGGAAGCAGAAATGACTTGGAACCACGACAGATCTTCACTCCGGACTTTGGAGGAGTGGCTGTCTCATGCGTCCCTTTTATTAGATTGGAAATGCTCCTTGATTAACTTCCGTCTGTGGCACAACCAAATCCATAAAGAACGATGGATGTTTAACTTTTTTATCCTGTTACTGGTCACCCTGGAAGACATTTCACTATACAAATATAAACAAATGCTTATTATGAAGGGAAAATATTACAGTAAAAAATACTCCATTGTTCTTCAATCAGCGGGAGGGTTTTTGGGATTGGATTTGAATGCTCATAAGTTCGTGTATAAAATTCTTTGTAGACATTTCATTTCCACTTATCGTACCTTAAACCTCAACTGGAGAAGAAGGGGTGCATCCAATCTTATAACGCTAGCCTAATCTGATCTAATCCAAAGGTGTTTATTTAACTGTCAGAATTTCCACTTTCATCTTGAGATGATGTATAGTGAGTGGGTTAATGATCTGACAGAGTGCATGCATTTCTAGCCTAGTAGCCTCCTTGCATCAACTCAACAAGATTAAAAAATGCATTTCATAGTGTTGTGACCGCTGCCACTGTCACACGATTGCATTTATTAAACGCAATCATACGTATGTATACATTGGATATGTTCTAATAAATAAATGCAAAATTAGAGTTATAAGTCACACTCATTTCAATTTGCCATAAATTAAAAGCACTTGCTTCTTCACTGCACAAAAGGCCAGAACAATTTAAGATTCTAGGCGAGTAACTGGACTTTGGTTTGTACTGGTCGTCAGATTTCCTTTGTCAGCAATAACAAAGTAAAAGTTCCAAGTCATCAAATATGTAAGTGGACCATAGCTCGTATGGACATGCTTAAGTCCAATGTTTTTGGCTGACTGTTGAACAGTTAATTTAGCTTCGATATACAAAACTTCCCAAAGGAAAAGAGAATATATGCCCGTCACACAAGATTAAACTATTCCAGGCGGTTGAAGGAGTAAACAGAATATAAAATCGTGATGACTTTTGATGAATACCAAAGTAAAACAAAAAATCAGCATGATGATGAGTGCTCATGTTTATTTAAAGCACATCATTCTTCTTCTACTTTGATTCCGTCAATCATTCTCACTTTGATTTCGGTTTCTGTTTTCAGCAACTCAAGCAAAAAATACAGAATTGGAGCTGACATGACATGACACCATGCTACTTATTCTGTCCATCTACTTTTCTTCACAAATTGAACTGAACTGACAGTCATATCCAATGGTGCGATGCATGCATGCGAATACGGGAATCAAAGAGTTTAGACGAAAGACGCCGAAAGGTACGAAAAAATTAAAACAACTTCCGATCTTGTTCACTTGCTGAGTAATCAGACATAGTTTTTTTTAGTACAAAAAGGTTTATAAAGCCCTCGAATAATAAAGTTTTGTAAATACACAAGTAGATGACACGGAGGAAATATTTAGTATGACATTAGATTTTGAAATAAATATATTAACTCTTTTGAGCATTTATATACATTATGCTAATTTTAGACTCACAACTTTTCTAGTCTAGAGGACTTAACCTCCAAAAGCTGTATGGACAAAATAAGGTGTGAAATTCACACTGTGAATACAGAAAATCATTAATAATATATTTTGGTAAGAATACATGTACCTAATCGTCACTCTAACTTTATATACTCACATATGTCTTCATTTTTTGCTTTAGTAGACCGATTTTTCCATGTTGACCTTATACTTTATATACACGTGGAATGAAAAAAAACAGTAAAAATAAAACCGCACCGTAAAATGTGTTTGCGAACAGCATAACATATTCTCAAATTGGGACACTCATTCATTTTTGATTTGAAAAAGTTCATGCATACAAATATATAAAATCTCAACTTTTCACAACTACCGTGTTCCTCCTCCGCCTATGCATTTCTTTTTGGGAAATAGTACGAGACTGGAATTTCAACAAATCACAAAAGTGCTCATCATAATGCAAAAGCCATAAAGTTTGGAGATTTGAATTGTTTCGTGGGGAAGAAATTGCATAACTTTCGAATTATTACAATGCATTTACATGCATGCTTTTTAAAGCATAGTGAATTTATTCGGTCAAGCAACTCACAGAAGTACACATGATGAGACAGTCGCAAGGTGAAAATATTCATATATAGCTAACCAGCCCTTGAGCTCCACAAGCTAGAAAACTAGGAAAGCAAGTTCGGTAAATTTTGAAGGGAATAAAATAATAAAGGGATGAAAGTCGTGATGCAAGAGTTCGACAGATGGAGCAAATTCACCACCACAGAAAACACGGATTCGCTGGCTTGGTCTTATTCTGCCAACATTCCTAACTCCAAACAACCGGTTATTCAATCTCTTTTTTACTACATATATGTGGGAAAATGTGTGCAGAAGGCAAGATTTTCTTTTAAAAAAGACTGAATAGAATCTGTCCGGGTTTCGGTTACACTTCATTACTTTGATCTTTTCCATGCATGAAATCTTTAAAATGGCTGGATTTAGATTACCAGAAAGAAGAAATATGAAATGGAGAAAAAAGGAGCATTTTGGGTAAAATAGAAATGCAGTCAGCCATAAAGGGTGGTACTTGCAGGTGAAAATAATTCAAGTGTATGAGTTCTAATGTTGGTCACCTCACAAACTGATTGCAAATCGACCTTCCAACAAACTCATCTATAATCATTCCATAAAATACTTAGATCGCCTTCTCTTTAGCTTAAAATTCACGTAAAAGGTTCGTCGATGGGACCAGACAGCAGACAGATCCGGAAGAAATATAATCCTTAACGCATAATAAGCAGAACACACAAACATGACACGATTAAGGCTGGGCTTGTTTTTAAAGATTGAATATGAGCTGATGTGCTGTGACAGCCGTGTACGAAGGTTGGTCGTCCAAAGTGCTCTCATCATTATCTCATATTTCTCCAATTCTGTAAACACCTCCCAATCCTAGCAGATACATTTACGTATGTATATAATTACTTTTCGTGTAATTATATTTTTATCGTATATGGCAAACGAGCGTATTGGGAAATAATGCCGTTATTACATATATGTAAAATGATACCAAGTATTTGGCTGGGCTAGCGGCTGGTAGTTTAATATTTTTTTTACACAGTAGTGCATAGTAGTAGTATTTAGCATATCTGTTTAAGGGCGTCTCTTATTTGCTCAATAACCGTACACACATTATGCGTTTTATGGGGCTGGGGTGTGTCATATAAATCAGAGTGAGTCAAGTGTTTTTTCCCTTATTTTCCAACCTAGGTGCAACTTCACTCGAGTTTAAGGTCAAGATTCAAAATGTGAAACTCGGGCTGAAACATGCCGGTAATAGAAAAGGGTGAAAGGAATAAAATGCCTCGACTTTTGTTTGAAGGAAGGCTAAGTCAAAACGGCGCAACAAAGAAATTGCATTTTCAAACGGAATCCATGAGTTCCATCGAAGCATCTGCACTCGAGAGTGAGATGGAAAAGTTACAAGTTAAATAAAATACAATACACTTTTCAAAACTTTGATATTCGAATGTTTGATGGTTTGATTTGGGATTTCTCGAGTGGATGGATGGGGTGCGTTTGACTTGCATTATTGACTTCGGATTCCAATTTAAAGGGATGAGGGACGACGAGAATGCAATAAAATAAAATACATTCGGTTTAGAATGAGAAAGGTTGCAGGATATCTGATCCGAATTCTGGATGCATTGCAGCACTTTAAATTTCTTGCATATGTGAATAATTGACATGCGAGTAGAACTCGTCCAATCGTTGCAGTTTTGTTATGAACATTTTGAAATTTGTAGAAAACATTTAGAATTTTCGTTTGATAGGATAACATCATTAGATAATTGAAAGTACTACTGCGAACTAAGGAAAGAACAATTTTGTAGTAATTTCTCTGCACCTCATAAATAACAGCATTATGTATTAATATTAATTAATTCTTTAGGGAGGTAGACGTCCACAAATCTGATGTTAATCAGTGCAAACGCACTATGCACCAAAACGTCGTTTTGATTAATAATACTACTCCCGATCCCCTCACACGCTCCGTTGTAGCAGTCAATTAGTAGAAATGCGAATGGATAAGCCACCCTTCTTTTGATAATTAAAAAGTGCACGCTTCCAGCACACCATAAATTTATACAAACACGTTGCGTGATGCAACAAAGTGCAATATTCACAGATGAAGATTGTAGAGTGCGAGTTAAAACAATAATACCTTGAAATAACTGGAATGGGTATATCCATAAATAACCAACTGCATTTTTCACTGCAGCAGCAATCTTTTTATTATGTATTGTATTGGAGGGAAATGCAATGTTATCATTTCCTAGCTCCTTTCCATGACCTTCTGCACTGATCGTTTTATTTTTCCATATCGCCTTATCGGTAACAAGGAACCTGCATTATTTATCATTTTTGTTCCAAAGACTGCTAAAAAATCGGTTTTAATTTTTTAGAGAAATTACAAAAAATCATATTTCGTACATAGTTTGAATAAGTTTAAACCATAAAGTCTACGCGATATTGAGGATGCTTAGCTCCTACAAAAATAGGCATACGGGCATAAACAGATTGAAACTACCTTATTAGTGAACATAGCGTAGGTAACACTAATTGAGAGAAAAACCAGTGGAAATTCCATCTGGTTACGGATACTGCCGTAGTTAGTGCTTTCATTTACTGCACAAAGTTTCGCAAATCCCCCAATAAAAAGTTTACGATGAACTACAAAATGTGACCCTTCCCATTATGCTGTGGACAGTGCCATTTAAAAAATCCATAAAAAGGTAAACAATGTAAAAACCGTATTCTTACAGTTTCTCATGAAAAGGACTCGTTCGAGTCTCACTATTCCCTCCCTGTATATTTGCTCAATTTCACTACTTAGGACTTCATCGCTAATTCTAATTTCTTGGTGGGCTATCATTGCACTCCAAATCCTTTGAGGCGACAGTGTAACCTTGGAATCCATGGTAGCATCACGCACATCTTGGAAAAAAATACTTTGGACTTTAGTTTTATGGAGCTAGTTGCGTTCGATTTTCGATTCAGGTTTATCCATTCGTTATCTTGTTCCCCCTCAGTCAGCAAAGCAGTTTGGGTGTTGAGCGTTTTAAGTGGCACCTTAAGAACAAAAAAATCAATCTTTTAAGTTTATTCCTCCCATTTGTTGGACTTACTCAAGTGACTTTATCCCGTGTGCAGTGACGCTGGGTTTGCGCTAAATAGATCAGGAAATATTTTATGTGGCCGTAAACTCAAACTGATTCAGTTATGAACTTATATTTGTGCAGAGGAGAATTGGAGAAAGCGAAAGTGAGACATGTCAGCAATAGAAATAAAGGCAACACGATCAAGCCATTCGACCAGTCGGACGAGGTCACTCAATGAAGTTTACGATTGGCCTTGGAAGTTTGAAGTTGAATGTGAGAAAACTAAATTATATTTGCCATATACTTCCACATTAATAAGGGTCCACCTATAAACAATCATGGAAAGTCACTACTTTATGTTTAACAATTTAGAACTTCCATTTAATAATATTTACAAAAATTTTGTGTGTCCGTTTGGATTATGTAGTATTTCCAGATAAAAGCCAAAAGATATGTTTTCTGTCTGGAAAAGAACGGGAATATTTTCCCGCACAACCAGGATTCAGTCGCCATGCAGTGGAATATTCTATGAACTGCCATCCAGGTGACGTTCCTAATCCAAGCTATTTCCCATCTGAGGATCGACTTCAGAAACCTATCAGCCTGAAAGGTTATGGAATTGGTGGTCTTTCTGCTCCAAGATTTCCAGGAGAAAGCAAGAACCGATTTGGAAGGAAGGAACAAAGCAGAAAGTCCAGCAGTTCCGCACAAGATGAGAAGGGCCAGGCAGGGCGAAATAGTAGTGACGATAAAAATATGTCTCCTGAAGTTTTAACCTCTGTTTGGAAGAAGGAATTGAAGCTGACGGATAAAGTTGCCCCAATTCTAACGCCGGAGCAGTGTAAACAGAGAAAGTGGGCATTTGGACAATCGGTCCATGCCCCAAAATTTGCTAAAAGCAATGGAGGCAGCGATGGTGTAGGGTATGCTGCATATGTTAAGAAAGGAATCTTGTCAATTAAGGAAATAATGTGAAGCAAGTTTTGTATTTTGGCATTTACATTACATAGTGTGGGCCACTATGAAGTCAGCATTCCCAAACATTGCAAGAGGATCCCCGTCTCAACAGTTTTTGGAGCAGGGCCCGTCACCATTCATGAAAAGACTCAAACAATTTGCAACTTTGAAGGGTTTGACCACTGCATCGAGTGTCATCGGTGTCTTGACTCGACGGACTATTACCGATCCCTTCGTTCCATCGCTATACCACAAAACTACTTCCATACGTACTCCAACCAGTCGGAATATACTCAGCCGTCGCCTACCGTAAAGTCCTCTCCCACAAAGTTGACTCGAATGGACCGCGTCATGCTCGCAATATCGAATTCGAAATTGTCTCTAGACCCAGGTGAACTCAAGATGGACCATGCAAAGCACATCGCATTTTGTCCAACCTGCTACTTTGAAATAATTCAAACTGGGCACGAGTACTGGACCCCCAAAAGGCTTGTGGGTGGGAAGTTTACGAAGACACGCCACTGTGTCAATATCCACGAGCACAACAACTTGCCCGTCTTTGTACACAAAGTACCTTGCAAGTTAATCCAGAAACTGAAGAGGAAGGAAGCTCTGATGAACAAGTATTTCCCAGATCGTTGTGATAAAGTGGACCGCGAGAGGTGAAGTAAAAAAGGATTGTCTTGACACTACTACAAGTACTTCTGCTGCTGCTGCTACTGCTACTTCTACTACAAAAGTCAAGGAAAAGAATAAACCTAGACGGACAAGAAAGTGTTGATACGATGACGACGTTGGTGATAATCTTATCAATCTTATCATAATAGGATTTACAAATAGGCACTTTTACTTAGCTCCCTTTGTACAAAGTGATGATAGAATCAAATAAATAAAGTGTGGGAAAACACATTTTTGTGTCTTCTGTTCGAGATCCCTGGTCTGTAGTAGTGTTGCCGACGTACTATGCTCTACGCCTGCTGAGAGGTGTTCATTAGATTTTAATCCATACGCAGAATTTCTTTTTCTACTCGACTCGCAAAAGTGGTGAGTAGTAAACTGCCGGAAGCTTTAGAGCTTCACATAATTCTTAGCTTTTTACGTAACAAAAATTAGTCATCCGTGGAGGAGACTTAACCTACAATTGCATCATGACTTTGCTTCCATTCTCATCTTGCTCACAAGTTCCTCTACTCGAGTCTTAAAACTGTATTGTTTTAAGGCTAGATTGGAAAGCTTTCTCAAGAAGGGAGAATCATCATCAGAACTCGGTTCCCCAGTCCCAGTACAACAATATTAGTCGTTTGGTTTTCCGTAGAGCACGTTGTATTTACCTTTATGGTATGCACTCTTACTCCTTGTTGTTATTTCAGGATGAAATGCATAAATATTTCACGAAAGGTAAACTTTGGTCTCAAGGTTTTAGCATCCAGAATCACAAAGTGCCTTGAGCTGTTTGTTGTGCAAATTCAGTTGAGGGTGGCTGGATGCAAAAGTAGTCCTCGTCATGGTGGTGGTGTTGCAAAGCTAACAAAGGAGCGATAAAAGTTTATGACGACCCCAAGAAAGAAAGACGAAAAAACACTCTGTATGAATTAGTAATGATCCACTTTGCCCAAATTCCATTATCATAAGCCTACAATTGGAAAATCTCGGGGAAGATGTATACGCTCTTTCTGGGCTGAACTCTTATGCCAGCCTGTACATAAATAAACACGCTCGACACCTAAAATTCTTCGTGACGATTTTGTCTGCATTTATATGAAATTGGTGTATGCAGGGAAAAATAAAGTGATTCGTGTTTCTCAAAATTTCTGGCATTAGGATTTTCACTTTGCATAAAATTTTGTAATTCTATTTTCCCAATTTTTATTGACAAATATCAAACTATTTATATTAGTAACTACTTGCATGGGTTCCTGATTAGATTAAATATTTTTTTAAGAATTTTCAGATTCGAAGACTTATGGTTTGCATGCATCGCTTGAGTACGAATGAGATTCCGTTGGAGCAAATTACTTGAACTTTGCACCTCCGTTTGCCCCTTCGTTTTACTATCACGTCCACTGGGTCACAGTCAAAATTTTGCTGGATGACGTCCACAATTTGGCGACTGGGCTTGGCTGTCGTTGGAGCAAAGGAATCCATAGGTTCACATCCCTTCACGTTTCTAGGAAAGTCGCACAATCCCTTGGCGGCATGGAAATAAAGCCCATCTGGACAACTTTCAAGACGAGAGTTTCCGTTTTCGCAGGTGTTGTAAATTTCGCAGTAGTTTCGAAATGAAATGTTTAGAATCCCTTGGTGAGGACAGGATTTGTAGGCTTGAGGCTGTTTTGGGAAATGAAATTGAAATCAAATGGTTATGCAAAATGTCAGAAATGTTTAACTGTGGTTCTCGCACCTCTACCCAATTTCCAAGTCCGGTTTGGAAAATTTGGAATATCATTAGTAAAAGACAGCACAATTTTAAGCTTCGTTTCGACATGGTCTTTAGTCGTAAGTACGTTACTAAAAATTATACTTATCCACCAAAATCAGATTGAACACTGAATATTTGTTCGTCTGCATTTTGACCATTGCCAACTTTGATATACAAAATCAAAGATCCATACAGGAAACCCAAATAAACCAATTCGCGAAATCACAGACCTTGGACAAATGCTTCTGTAGAAAAAAGATAGAAACCAAAAATATGGCAATGTTATGACCATCAATATCATCGAGTGGTGGCATATGCATATATTTATTTAAAGCTTGGGCTAGATGAATTGCTTCCGAGTGAGTGGGAAGAACATGCAAATAAAATTGCAATAAATCCATACAGTTGATACTTATTTGCTGATATTTGTAGATAGCATATTCATATTAAGTAGCATATGTATACTACTTAAGTTAACCAGTTCATCGACAACTTTAGTTGGGCATTTATGATGATCACAGATCACCGCAAATTGGTTTTGGCACACGGACAAACTCCCTCACTCATTCCGCGGTTATTTACCCATGGGAGTCGTTCAAACCTAGTAAATTCCAACGTTTAAAAAATTAAAGAACCATGACCTGACAAAACTTTGCGAAATCTATTTTTGCCTACTTCTATATGCCTACACATATATTCGCAATGTAGCCAATTTTATAAATCATGTTTTTAAATGATAGAGGTTGATGATACCAAATATATACGCACATAAATACCCAGCATTTTGTGATTACACCCCCCACTATCCATAAACATACAAATTATTCACGATTCATTTGGCTTCATACTTGAGGCAATGCATTAAGAATCTTGGGATACCTCAAACTCTAAAAATGGTCGTCTGAAGTACCTGCCATAACTGAAAGGTGTAATTATTACGTATTGGATTTGAATGATCTTAATGATAACGATTATCTACTACACGTTGGTTGGGGTACCATTCCTCATTCAGTTCACGCACGATTAGAAAGGGTAAATACTCATCAGCCAACATAAATACCATTAGATGATCGTGGATTCTGTATTCGGTATTGGTTGGCTGAGACCATGAAAGATTTCGATTTTTCATTACTCTCGTTTACGATTATCCTTTTTTGAAGAAGAGTGGATCGCTTCCGTCTCTAAATGATCGAGTACGGAATTCTGAAGAAAGATAATTCTATGCAGCCTTGTTCATAAACGAGTGTTGACCAAAAGTTGAATAACTTGTGAACATGGTCGGATATTTTCTTTTGAATCGAGTTGAGTCATTCTCTTCAACGTCGAGTATTCTTGCATCATTGTTGCAACGTGATCATGGACAATATCCAGACTATGCATATCTAGATATGAAAATTTTACGTAAGTAATATCAAACGCGAACCATTGTTAAAAATACCATCCTCACTTAAGGCAATAATATACAAATAACGTATATGCCACAAAATATTTGGAAGGGGTATTATGTTGCTGATTGCATTAAGAATGCCACAGCGTCTTAATGAGAGAATTGAGAATGCCCAATCAACTATCTCTATTGAATCAGTGTATAATCGTCGATTTAAACGGGTAAAATCAACAGGCATTTGTCCAAACCCGACATTTTTTACCCTCTGCTGAGGATGAGTTAGTCCAACCAACACAACAATGGCAACTGACAATTTCACTGCTTTCACGGCATCTTTCAGTTTCATTGCACCGTAGGACATACGTAAATATGAGCACCCTGTGATTCCACGTACAGACTGACTATGAAAAAAAAATCTTGACTGGTGTGAAATATTATTAAAAATCAGACATTCAGTCACACTGTCTGCGTGCTACATACCTATGTTAGTTACTTATATAGCAAATATTAACATTAATATTTACAAGATAGAAAAATCAGCAATAAACATCTGTGTTGCAAAGTCCCCCAACGCAGATTGGGGGATAACGTAAGATTTACATTTATTAAATAAATTAATGTAAAGTTATGAAATTACTTAGTCGACACAATTTATCTGTGAACCAAGTATATGTAGATTGTTCTGACATCGTAATACTCGGAGCAACGTGAGAATAATAATTTAACTTATCGACGATGAACGTTGACTCAATTGAATGCAGTTGATTAATTTCTCTGCGAGCTCTACGATTTAACGTTTTCTACAAGTAAATAACTTTATGTAACTGCATTCAGACGAATGCATGTTCACAGATAAAGAGTAATCCATAGCAAATCATGGTTTCTTTAGTCTTGCTGCTGGACCGAACTACATAAATATGTTATGAAAAGAAAACTTGTTGTCGAGTTGAAATTCTATTCACATATGCATCCGCTTTATTTCGCTTCGTTTCTCTCAAATCAAAATGTCTTATGGGTTGAGTTGGTTAGAGCCGTCGTTCCTTTTAACCCGAAGAAAGAGAAATAAATAAACAACTTGACTCATAAAGAGTTCCGTTAGGACGACAAGTGTCCATTCCACCGGAAAATTATACAATAACCGACAACAGAAAGTCGGCCTGGCGAAAGTCAAGAATGAGATGGAGAAATACCAGGAAAAGGCGAGGCACAATCCCCAACCAGGCTTGTAATATAAATATGTATAATGGCGTAATAAAGTGAAACCCGGATAAACATGAAAGGAAATTGAAATGGCTTTATTTTGAATCTCCAGAGAAGGTGCTATTCTTCCGCCTCGAAGGTACATACATATAAATGTAAATGTCACAAAAAATAGCCTTGACACGATTATTCTACCCTCTCAAGTACAGCATGAAATAAATGCACAAATACGTTCTGCTGTATTACAAATGTATGAAATCCTGAAGGGACGTTGGCTGCCTCTTTCAATTAGTTTTAATAGTTTGCCATCTAAATTGTTAATTTGAAACGTCCTTTTATAATTAAACTATAAAAAATCAACGCATGCCCATAGCTGTAGTATATTCGAGCTCAGAAAGGGAATACAATTCTTAAAATTGAGTACATATTCCAATTTATCCCCGTAAATTTTGACCCAGAAAAGGCCGAGAGTTCATCCAAATACAACTGACAATTGTGGATTTTGTGCACTTTTTTTACCAATTGTTCAGCTCAATTGCATTCTAAATACTCCTGTTTTAAAACTTTACAATTTTGTTAAAAAAATTATTTCGCCCAGAAAACATGTTTTTCTTTCCGAATCAGAAAATATTGGGTGATTTGGCAAGGATCTGACACTTCATGATTTTCATCCAATTATTCAATTTACAAGTGCTTCAGATAATCTTGGGTCAACTTTGAAGTATTGAGTTACCCCCGAATAGTTAGGTCTTTCTAGGTTTCTGTAGACCTTTCTAATTTTTGGGTGTTGATTAGTTTAGCAAAAAGTGTATACGACATTAAATTGTTTTTCGCGTCCTCCATATTTATAAGCGTTTCCCTAATTGGAAGAGTTGGAGGTGGATTCGTTGAATTGTGAGAAAGGGTGCAAAGACATTTAATTTCTGAAAATTGGCGTTGCTGGAGCAATTTAATTTAAATACAGAATATTTTTCAAACTTTCAGTAGAAGCAATGTTCTCAATTCTTCTAGTCATCGAGTCTACACACCTCACGGTCTTCCTTTGTCTCCTTATTGCAAAGATAAAGTGAGTGCACAAAACTCCACTCTATTTGAATGACCAGAGTGCCAAGTGAAAGTTTTACATTAACCAAATGGAAGATGAGGCGGGGAAAGTTTATTTCTTTAATTGGAGACACATGACGACTTCACACAGAGATCTGTTGAATAGTAAAGACTACTAATAATCATGCACGAGCTGTAACGGTGGGCCTTTCTTTTGAATGAGTCCATTTATTTTCTCTTATTCTTCTTATGCCTGAGCCTTTTTTCCATTAACAAGCAAAGATATAAAGTGATACTTCCCATTGTTCCATCCCCGTAAGTGAGTGTCATTATTATCACCCTTCTCCTCCTTGTTTTCACGTCACTGCTCCTCATTCTTCCCTTCACCGGTCGTATTTAGTCTGATGACTAGGCTGATGATAAACCCATCTTCAAATTCTGGATCATATCTCATCTTCATGTCTCATCATTTACACAACTTCTTTGTTTTCATTATAGCGTAATTGTAACAAATCTCGACATTAGATGCTCTTGATGAACTTGATAAAAGAGATTCATTTAGATTCTCGTCATAAATAATATACATATTTTGCGGAAAATTGTTACACATGACATAATCGCATTGAAAATTAAGCGTCAGTAAAATTACAACGCACACATCACATGGTTTTTTATAGAAATTGAAGCGAAAATTCTTCCAATTAGTATTGACAAATTAATGAACGAATTATTTTTTTTACAAAATTCGACTTCATTTACCTATATACTCTCTAGAAATTCATGGAGTGTTGTAAATAAGCGTATCAACCTAGAAAACATTCCAATGTGAACTTTGTCGTATATTTTCATGGTAAAAAGTAGTAATTTAGTTGAAGGCGTTCTTGGTGCTTGGTTTGGTTGGCCCACCTACATATTTAGAAACTGTGACCCGCAGGAACCAAGTTCAGTGGTTCAACAACGGGTGCGAATGTCACATCAGTTTATTAAAGTAAAGGCGTAAATCAGGGAAAAATGTTCTTATCTCCTTGATTAATTGCAGGGCACAATCTGTACAACAACTCATGGCTGACAAGGCTGCTTGTTTCCCCCACCACAACCCCATTTTCGGACAATCCCTACATATACGCAACTTCATTTTCATTGTTAATATTCCACCACCAAAAGTTTGCAACAAGATGTTCCTCCAGTACGCACATAATTTATGCTGCGTGATGAAAGTTTAGAAAGCCATTTTGAATATTTTGATATGTTTAGATTGCTTTGACAGTATTTACAAAGTTTGGTTACAAAATGCAAAATATAGCAAAATTCATAGCATGTGCCTATATGTAGATATGTGTAATATGTATTCTTGGTTGATTTTTTTGACTAAAGGGAAAGCGATACACAATTTTCTTTCCATGTCTTGGCGGAATGAAAACTTTGTCGATATTTTACCAAGTGAAGACTTGCTTTGTGTTTTTAACTCGAAAATTTTGTAAAGAAAAATCCTGAATATTCATCGGTGCTTTTGTCCGCCATGCGAAAAACCCTAGAGAATAATTTATACTCCCTTGAGCATCTCTGTGTTAATTG